TGCGTGATAAAGGTTTTAGAAAACGCGAGTATATTAGGAGAACTGTAACGTATGCATTCCGATTTTTTCAAGCTAACTTTTGTGTCTGCGATGATGATCTTCATCACGGACAGGGTCGTCTACTTCTACTCGTAACTGGTTGATTTTAATCTGGTATAGTTATATTCTCGATCGAGGATAAGCATTTCTGGCCACTATGGCGAGATACAAATGCATCATATCTCAAATCTGGGTTAGATTCTTAAAAGCACAATTTTTTAACAGCCAAAAGCGTAAATCTCGTCGCAGAATGCCCCAGGTCACCATGGGCCTGCGTGGAACTTCAGAATTCCATGGAACAGGCTTTATAATGGGGCCTTACAAAAGAACTACGTCTTTCCAGAAGACGAAGAAGTAAACTAAAAAAGCCAAAGCCCATGTTATGAGAGTTGGTTGCTGCCAACGAACTGCACCTAAGATCAAAGGTAAAACACACCAGTTAGAAAGGTATTTAGTATTAACTTGGAATATCTGCTACCCATGAAGTGTCTGTTTATTCCAGATCGTCAAATGGGCGGTTGTTGCGAGAAAAATAACTAAGACCATTAAGTAATCGATGGAAAAACTGAATTGAGCTGTGTAACTAAGAACCTGGACATATTCCTGATACTGAAGAAAAGAAAAGAAAAGAAAAGAAAAGAAAAGAAAAGAAATGGTAGTTCTTTATCAGAAGACATCTTCGAGAAGTTTAGAAGGACGATGTAGAGTGTTTTCATTCCGTGACAAAGTTGATAATCAGTACAATAAAGTGTCGTTGTTACATGATAAAAACAGAAAAAGAGAAGACAATCAAAGGAAACAGTTCAACGAAAAACGAGAAAATCAGGCAGTACACCTGGAGAGTAAACCTTCGACTTGTTATGTAGTAGGTATTTTCTCAACCAGACTGTGTTCGGTTACGCTCAAGAACTAGCGAAAAACGCTTCCGTTGTACGACAATACCCAACATTGAAGAAAAGGAACATGGTCTGCAATTGTTCTAACTCGACGACCACTTACTATTTCCAATAATGATATCTGTGGTTTCATCGTATGCTACAGTGGGTTTAGGTTTGCGGCACTTTAAGCAAAGCTTTGAACAACAAGACGGGTTGCATTCTGGTTTGTCCAGCGGCTCCTCTACATAGGTCCCACGTGTGCCATTGCTGATAAACCATTCTGAAAAGGCTTTGTACGGTGTCTTTCCTACAACGAGTTGAAAAGTGTTGAATGATTAAAGAAAGAATACCTTTCTCTTTTACCAGTCTCTGCGACCTTGAAATGACGATCAAATATCCGTTTCCGTATTCTGTCGCTTTATTTCCCTTACAATACAAAATAAGGGGTTGGAGAGGGGGAGCAGAACAGAACTACCCCGTGAGATGGGTTCTTAGCTAAAACACTGGCTTTATCAACCTGCACTCTTTACTTTTCACTGCGGTCCTTTGTAAGCCCTGCTTATTTCGAGAACCTGGCAAAACACTGGGAGAGCATACTACCAAAGGTAGCATGAACGAGATCAGCAACTTCTGTAGCTAATTCAATTATGTGTAGTAGGTTTGCCAGTCTTGACGATGTTGCTTTACTTATTACCCAGTCCGTAACTTACCTCCTATTTCACAACTCAATGTCTGGTCCGTGTTAGTAAGATTGTCGCTAGAGAATGCGTGCATGAAACAGGCGGGTGAAAAAACACCATCCTTCTGGCTGTTGATAACCTACAGCGTGACAAGAAATTAAAGTTAGTGACACATGTGGTTGACGAGAGAAAAGGCTGGGGTCGAGTCTTCTCCAGGATCCCGAGTGATTGCCTCGTGTATAGCCGGTCTTTGGGGCTGGGCTGATGTCAGCGTTTGGCAACTTAGACGACGAACGACACCGTATCTACATTTCTCTTTTTCCCAAAAGGGCACGGTAACGAATGTTACATTATCTGATTGGTTCTTAGCGCGGTCGGGAGTTTCCTATCTCTGACTACGGTCACTGCAAACGCACGCGCGATGGTAAGGTAGACATCACCATCGCTTCACACCCAAGGCAAGGCAACCCATTTTCATTTTCCCACTCCAACCCAAACAAACTAAGTAACTACCTACCCGTCTCAGCGACCTGTGCGTGTTCTTCCCAAACTTGCCCAGGTATTCAGCTTCACTCGGTAGTTCCGGTGGAAGTCTCATTGTGGGAAATTTGGAATGGACAAGTTCTTGTAATTGGTACGAGTCCCACTGGGCCACAAACACGTACACTGGGGCAGACAGGTGTTTGAAAACTACACGGAAGCAAAGGATCGGAAGACTTTAGTTCTCAATGAATGGAACGAATTTTCACACTTACTTATTTTTACATGAAGGTTACTCGACACTTGGGGTGCGTTTCTTTAAGAAAATCCAAGATTGGATTCTTAAATCCGAATTCTTTACTAAACAGATCAATCCAAGATCTCTCGGATCGTTGTGCGTCAAAGGAACCGAAGAATCCTTGCCCAGAGTGGATTCTTCGGTTCCTTTGACGCACCATGATCCGAGAGATCTTGGATTGATCTGTTTAGTAAAGAAACGCAAAATCCGTTTTCGGATTTAAGAATCCAATCTCGGATTTTCTTCAAGAAACGCGCCCTTGGTTGCTGTTGTTTTTTTTTTTAATCTTCAAGTAAAGAGGAAGAAAGAAATTTGGTATGCAGACACCGCGAATATGTCAGAGGATTAGATACTTTCACTTATTCGTGCACTACCAAAGGCGGATCTAGGGGAGGGGCCCCGGGGCCCGGCCCCTCCCCTTTATTTTGGGTAACAAAAAAAGAGAAAAATCGCAGAAGGAAGAAAAGCCGGCACGGCAAGCAACCCCACCACCACCCCCGCTAGCTCAAAGTCTGGTTCCGCCACTGATTACAACATCGGAGCGCTTGCTGCAAGCACCCGAAGCTTTTAATTATACGTAATACAAGTCCAAATTAAATTTATATGTAAAACAGTGTCACCCAAACCACAAACTGAAAGCTAACCGCAAGCAAATCCGAGTGGAACTAGCCGCAAGCAAATTGGGGTGGAACTAACCGCAAGCAAACTTGAGTAGAGCTAACCGCAAGCAAACTGGAGACGCGTTAACCTTTGTTAATTTAGAGTATAAAAAGTCACAAAATGTGACGAATTCGAAATGTCTAACTTGGTTAACTTGTTATGTAAGTATTTCCGAAAGTGTCACTGGTTTTTACCATGTTTTCTTGACAAAAACATTCACGATCGAGCGAAAAGAGTTTACATTTAGGAAGGCTGCATGCAAGAAAAGGAACGCAACACGTAAACGTTGTTCTTCGAAAAGGAAACGATATGGCAATATTTTCGGAACTGTTTACATCACCAGTCAGGAAAGGCGAGGGCCTAAGGACGAATGTGGTAAACGGGTTTTTTTTTCCCCCGCCATTCCCGCCCGCGGAGTGCGTTTCCCGCCAAATCTCTACTCGAAGGGAAGCGTATTCGAAGGAGGGTAAAGGAAGAAGCATTCTACGAAAGCAATTTTGCGTGGCGCGAAGAGCGTTTAGAATTGTTTGTTGCATAGTTAAGGGGATATCAAAGCTGCTTTAAAAAACTGAGTAGTTATGCAAACAATGAATCTTCAGAATGGGTATTCAGGCCAGGTAAGATGCAGACTTACAGTGGGCAGACAGACTTGATTTAAGCGAGCTGAAACCATAAGGCAAGGTCATTAAGCTGACATACCTTGAAGCTTGTATTTTTCTACAGTATGTTTTGGTTTGTTTTGTTCGGAAAACAGAGTAAAGCCTGAAAAATTGCATTCTTCTTCTATGGATTCAAGCTGACTGTAGAATGGCGAATGGTCGCAAAACATAAGCTTATGATCAAATCATTACTGAGGAAAAGCGTGCATTTACCCTACCCGCAGTATACTGCCGTTTTTCAGCGTTTTTGTGGCCCAAAATGGGGGATCTACCTCCCATTTGAAGTTACACTAAGCATTTATGTACATGTATACAAGAGCAAAAATAATGTCCTTCAAATCACCCAGTTCTATCAGTGCTACAGGCATTTGGAATTCTACGAATATTTCTGCGAATTACTTGTCCTCAAGATTTTCCTCCTTGGGGAAAGTTCTGAAGGTTACGCCACCCCACTTTCAACAATACCCTGTGGGGCCTTGGTCTAACTAGGGGAATTGTACTGTAAGCCAATAATTTCTGTTGTACACAAAAAGAAAATCAGAGTGCTTACAAGAGAGGTTTGATACCTAATTCTCCATACAGACAAGCTTCTGCCTTGGGCATGTTTGCCCGACATGATTCATCAACAAATCCATCCCACAACTCATGAAACATCTACAAAACAAACGAGCCTTTGTCAACTTTAACTTGCATTTAACTGCTAAAGAACAAAAACTTGTCATTTATAATTCTCTTCATATCGTGTCACCCTGAGCCCTAGCCTGAATGTCAACCTTGGACTTCAAGCAGGCAACTGGTATTAGCATTTATTTACAACTTTCCAACAGAGGGATTGCTTAACAGTTTAAACGATTGATCAAAAGAATTATAATTCTGCTGTAGTTCCTTTTTAAAATCAACCGTTACATGTATGTGACATCCATGCGGTACTTACGTAGCTTAATACTTTAAAGAAATATGGCGGCCCTGCGTTAGCTGTTTCACCAAAGTTAGGATACAAAGTAAACCATCCACCGTCGTTATATCCTCGAATCTGTAATAGAATTCACACGATCAATGCTGGAGCCACATGAGGTCTCACTACTCACTGATGTTTTCATTTTTGATTTTCTTTTATTTCTTTCTTCTTTTAGAGAAGAGAGGGAAGGGAGGTTAAAAGTGATGTATCAAATGCTTTAAATGTCTCCCCCACCCTCTGTAGTTTAATTTTGTCACCTGTTTACCGAACAATGGAATGGGAACTGTTTTATGGCTCAGTTAATAGCATAATTGACGAGTTGTAAAGTATATAACTTAAATAAGGAGTTGTAAAGCATGTCACAATTCAGCCACTTCGAGGGCTACAATGATGTTACTCGATAAAGCTATCTATCTCAACTAATGGACACAATAAATTTTCAAATTAAAGAAAAATAGTTCATATACAGTGTGATCGTCCGGGTGAGGGTAGTTCTGAAAAGAACTGTTGTTGGTGACTGACGTTTCGACAACATGAGCGGAAGTCATCTTCACAGTCAAGTGAATAGTGTTTGTCAGTCGACATCGACTGAAAAACACTGTTCACTTGACCCTGAAGATGATTTCTGCTCAGGCTGTCAAAAAGTTAGTCACCAACAACAGTTCTTTTCAGAACTACCTTCACCCGGACAATCACACTATACGAACTACTGATACTCCTGGGTTCAAACCATTTACTATGTAAAGGAAAATAATAGGCAATGATATACAGGGAGTCATGTGCATCTTTTTTTCTATACCACTATAACCTGAGAGCCTAGAACACTACTAAGTACATGGTACAGGAAAAAATAATCTTCATTTAAGTCAATCAATCAAGCTATTAATAGTAGCAAACATAAAATCAGAAAAAAATTGACTGTATTGCTGTTATTGAGTACCTATTAACCAAGAGGAGGCCTTTATGGGAAAATCTCAAACCTCTGCCTAGCCATATTGACCTCGCTATTGCTTGGTCAATACAACAAGGTCCCAGTTTGAGATTTTCCCCTAAAGACCTCCTCTCAGTTAATAAGTAGTTAATAACAGCAATACATTCCATTCATTTATTATTTATTTTTTCTGATTTTTTGTTTGCTACTATTGATTGATTGATTGATTGATTGATTGCTTGATTGACTGATTGATTGACTGACAGACTGACTGACTGATTGACTGACTGACTGACTGACTGACTGACTGACTGACTTAACTGTAGATTCATTTTTCCTGTAGTAGTGTTCTAGGCTCTTAAGGTTCAAAGGTTTAAAGTTCAAGGTTAATAAGTTGTTTGTTACAAGTATATGGCTTTTTGCTTTGCTTTAGCGTTAGCCAATTAGAGCTTGTGTTATATCAGCTACAAACACAAGCCATATAATAATATCAGATAACTTTGCTTTCATACCTCAGCATGTTTTACAAGCTCTTGAATAAAGTCAATATTTGCCAACATGCCCAGCCCACCAGAAGATGCTCCACCAAACAGAATCTGTGGGAACAGTCATGACCAAGAACATCAATGGTATGTGAGAAAAGAGTCCATGTTTCATTCGCCTTACCTAGTTACCCACAGCCATACCAGGCATGAAATGTACCAGTCATTTTTAGAACAGCATGCAATACCTGTATACGGTGGTACCACATGTATGTCCCCTGTTTTATTACACATGTATTTAGCAGATGAAAGCATAGACTCTCAGAGAAGTCTTTCACCTTGTTTATTCATTACCCACTGGACAAAGGACTTTCCATACATGTACTTGATTGCCGGCAATTTCAGCAATCCAAAAATGGGTCACTGTGCTTCGACCAATCAGAGATGCCATGAATATCCCTTGGGGACAGCACTGTCAATGAAATGTGACTTGCAGTTGAATTTAATACAATTAAAAGCGATTAAGAAGCCTTACAGGCAATGGGTTATTCTATTACTATATTGCATGACTAACAGCACAAGATAGAAGAGATAAGTTTGTTTCTGCGCCAAAAAGCTTGACTTTAGAGCTGGCTCCACATGCTTTGATTGTTTAAATTGAGAGAATATCTACAATAGCAATGTCTTTGTCTTGGTGCAAATGTTTCTGCTGCTTTTGCTCATGGTCCTCATGAAAGATCAGGTCTTGAACTTTAAATTCCCGTGGCATTTCAAAGTCTAACATAGGAGGTTGTTCAGAACAACAGTTGCATCCTCAATTCAAGTCAAAGATTCGCAAAGGTAATCTGAGACACCAGTTGCAAGTCTTGCCACTCCTCACTGGCACGAAACACAAATGAAAACTCTTCAAAAGAGACAAGTCGACCTCGCTCGCAGCTAGCTTCATTCGCTTAGCTATTCTACCCTGAAACTCATGATGTTACCTTATGGCAAGTCTAATGAGAACACTCAATAACTAACCTCAGTTAATCAGACTGCTTTACTACTCATCCTAAATTTGCAAAGTATGGTTTTGTTAACGATTCTGCTGATTCTTTTTCATTATAGTAATAAAGTTGTATAATAAATCTCTTATCAGCTTGCTTGAACCCCAGTAAAAGAATATTGGCCCTTACCTAATTCAATATTTTGAAGCAGAATTTCAAATAACTGATCAGAATAAATTTTGTCAATTTAACCCTTTACCCCCTAAGAGTGCAAATTGGCACACAAGGTCATYACTTTGTGAATATTTGATAGATTTCTATGAATTTTTGCCATGAAAATTGTCTTGTGAAGATCTACTCATTGAAGTCATAAAATTTTGACCCCCTCCCATCCCAGACATGGTTGACCACCCCCAGAAGTTTTTAGTTCCTTTTTTGGGATGCAAATGGAATGCAAGACTTGTTTCATATCAAGCTATGCACTAAGAGCTGCTAAATAAGCTATAGTTTAGGGGTATAGCTAATATAGTGGAAGATTGATACATTTTTGAAAACGTTTATTGTCCCATTTTAAAGCAATTTCTCTCAAAATGTCTACCTCCTTCAAGGCTGCTGATGGCAATTCTTAAATAAGCTGATTAGTGGCTTTCAAATGGCATATTGTACACAGGTTGAGTGTCTTTATTTGGCGATTTGGGAAAAACTGCCGTTCGCCTAAGGGGGTAAAGGGTTAAGTGGCAGGGGGCTCCCATGGACAGCCATGCAGTATATGCAGCTTCTTTCAACACATTATAGGAATAACTCACTACCACAAGATTTTTGTTTTAAAATTTACAACTTCTTTGAGGACTTTCCAGGCAAGAATTTACTTTCCAGGCAAGAATTGTTTCTTGTCACAAACACTTACGAGATTTTCTTTCCAAGATTTTCTTTCTCGATGGAATTCTTTTCAGGATTCAACAAGAAGAATTTTTTTTCTTGGTTGGATCACAGCATGGGCTGCATTTTCTGAGTGATTCTCGCCAGGATCACTGGCATTTTTTTCCCCAGGCAGAATGCAAACAGAAAAACTGCCACCCACTCCAAGATCCTGACAGAAATAAGAATTTGTGGTAGGATCCTGGATAGCTACAATGTACTTTGCGTAAGTAAGTATTTTCTGTCTGGAATTTGCCACTGACAAAGTTGTCAGGACCTTAAGCTGATATGCATGTATATTCAGTCCAAACTGAGAGTGTGGTTTAATTTTGTTATTATACCTATCACAATAATACTACAATTTCCTCTGTTATATAAACAATTAACAGCAACATGTGGGTTCAGTATACATAATTATAAGCTCATACCCGCGTTACACATAACTACTTTTGAGTCACTCATGGATATTTCATTAGCTACCAATGTACATTTGTACATGCATCATGAATCAAGCTGTTAACAGTGGATCAAGTCCAAAGGCAAACGAAAAGCACGGGAAGAAAATTATCGCAGTTGTATCACTATTATAAAACTCTAACTGTACCTTGGTGTCTGAGCTGTCTATCTTGTAGTCTTCAATGAGCTGTAAAAATACAGCTTTGACTATAAAATGTCCAAACATATTCATGTTGTGTGGATTCTTGTCCTTTCCTTTTCTACCAACAAACACGTCTCCACTGAAAAACCAGGAAGACCATTCTTTAGACATTTAATTCTTCTACCTTATACATACACCAACAAGAACCATTGATATCAGAGTAATCATCATTTTGAGCTATTCCTCACCCTTGGCCTCACGTGCACTCTAATCAGTCAGTGTAAAACCTAGACTGTGGACTGCAGACTGCAGACTGGAAATAAAAAAAGACTGATGGGAAAATGCAGACTGCAGACTGTAGACATGTGTTACCATTTCCATCATTGAGAGCTACTGTAAACAGGCTAAATGGAGTGTCATTTAGGCTAACCTGGGTGATATTCAGGCTAACCAGAGTGCAGACTTTCACGAGTTTTATAAACCTGCGAGCCAGCGAGCCATGCGAGCCAAAGGGCGAGCCAGTGCGAGCCATGCAAGCCATGCCATGTGTTAAGATTTTTTATTTGTTACATTTATATTTACATGAGAACAAGAAAAAGAGCAATGGAACAAAATGAATAAGATCGCAATATTAAATTCTTGCAATATTAAATTCTAAGGGAAGAGACGACCACATGCAGNGGTGAATCAGCATTAGAAATCCCATGCTATATCAAAAGGCGTAATTGTCAACTTCGATCTTTTCACAAAGACAAGTTCATCGAACTAACTCCGAACACAAAAAGCTATAGGAACTCATTTTATTGTAGAACTATTAGAGAATGGAACGCCTTACCTAGCGATGTTTAGATGTTAAAAAAAGTCAATTATTCAAGAACGCTCTTAGATTAGAATGATGACATTTTAATTAGGTTCTAATTTTTTAATCTTAATTAACTTTTCTTAGTAATCTTTTTAAATTATGTACATATTTTATTATATATTTTTACGGTTTTTTATCCCCCCACCCCCCACCCTGCTTTTTATTTTATTTTTTTATTTAATGTCTTGCAGTGATGGGAGTATGCCTCCCTTTGCAAGACCCCCATAATGTAGATGTAGATGTGGAACCATTTTGAAACGCTTCACAAAGAGCCGTTTTAAAATTTTCTTGAACTTTACGTAAGAGGAACCGAAGAATTAACTGTTTCTTTTCTAAGTTTCTGATTTTACTAAGCTGTCGATCGAGGTCATATGGTAAGCGAGGTTTCAAAATAACTATTTTTGGAATGATAACAGTTTCATTAGGACGTGAGAATTGTGAACGTTTTTGTTTTTACTGCGATTTGAGTGTGTTTGAACAACACTCACGCTTTCGGGCATTGTGTATTTATTTTCGGGTAATTAGCTCACCGCCCCCCTGCCCAATCGATGGTGCCCGTACGCGTACGCCTATGCGCAAAATTGCGCAAAAATGCTTAGAAATCTTACTTTTGTTGTAAAATTTGCATATTTTTTTCATCAGACCGAATAAAGAAAGAGAGCAACTTAAAGCAACTTTCGTTACAAAAAGCAACTTTTGACCTTTTTTGAGCAACTTTTGAGCAACTTTTAACTTTGGCAACTTTTTGGGAAATTTCGAGCAATTTGTGGAAATCAAGAACTGTTGTACGAAACCTCTTTGCAATAGTTTTCAACATTGTATGGGGGGTGGGGGGGGGGGGGGGGGGGGGCGAAAAATGGCCTCGGCACAGCGGCATCGGCCGTTTGTCTCGTAACATGCAATAAAAGACCTTTTGCTACAGTTGGTCACCTGACGTGTTTTTCAAGAACACTTTGATTTAGTCATTGGTAATGCAAAATGTTGTCAGAAATGGAAAGAACATTCACAAATAATTTAAGCTTACATGTAAATGTTCAGGTTTATATCCTTTAAGAAGGAATTTTTATGGACGTTAGAAATTAGAAGGATTTGGGGAAGAAGACTCGTTGCCCTGCAGTCACGCTCCAGTGGTTTTCCCTGCAAATCCTGTTTTAAGATCCCAGAATTTTCCATTCTCCCTTATATTTTACCCACCTTTCTATTTCCAATAGCTATATTCCAGCAGTTTCCTTCAGTAGTGATAACGGAAAAGGTTTCTGGAGGGCAAAACCTCCTCGTTTACATACAAAACCATCTAAATTTTGCAATATTCAAATCGTCATCAAATCTCAACCATACATGGTATTGGTCTGAAAATTGGTCCAGTTCTGAATTCATGCAGCTGTAGCAAAAAGTTGAGAAGTTGTCAATCACGTGATCAACTGTTGCTTAAAATACGTGGGATGTACTTAGTGTTGATGTGATGAAAAACACGAGGTAACCGGCGCGCTCACATTCTCGTCCCAGTGCTACTCATCTTAAAATGTCGTTGACGAGCCGACCACGTGACCAAAAGAAACGGAGGCTCTGGGGACGAGAATGGTACGCTCAGTATTTATCCAGTCCTACGCAGATGCATTCTCATCCCCAGAGGCCGCGTTCCTTTTGGTCAGCACCAAGAATCGCTACCTTTGGCCAGACGCGATTTTCTGAGCATGCGCAGAGTATTCGTTTCGTATTCTCAGCCAATCAGCTTTGTCAGATTTGACAGGAAGTCGTAAATCGCAGACTTCCGGTGTTGGACCAGCCCAGGGGTCGCGATTTTTGGTGCTGACCAAAAGGAGCGCGGGCCTCTGGGGACGAGAATGACGCAGACGCTCTGCGGGCTCATCGCGTAATTTTCCCTCCCTGGGAAGGGAAGGAAGATACATAAGGGTATACCCCGCGGGGGAAAACCTCTTGCCAGAAACTGGGGGATAACCTCTTGCCAGAGAATTTGAGATGTCCTTCTCAAAGATACATTTTGCAAAATATGCTCCGGCCGTGTATTATGTACGGTTTTGGGTGAAACGTAATTGACTTCTAGGACAAAACTTTGTGTACTTCCCCCCTTCCCCCGTACACGCAAAGGGGCTTGTCTCCGCTTCACTTCCCCGCAACATGTTCTTTAGTGTGAGCCAACCTTACATGCATCTCTCTCATTTACTTTTTTACACCAGAAAGAAATATCTCAAGAAAAACAGTGCAAACATTTTATAAAAGAACATTACATTTATTCATGACTTATTGTGTAAATGATTGTAATTTTTTAACGTTTCTCAACATATACAAGTTCTGTACAAGCTTATGGAAAGGAAAGTTCTTTTACTCTTGTGCCTTCACAGGAAATGTAGCGTCATTTCTTTCCAGATTTCTTTATTCCACTTCCACCTAGAATAGAATAAAAAAGTGCAAGATAGTACTTGACATCTGCATTTAACAACTAGAAAACATGTACCATGTTGTTTCTATCAAGTTATAGAGACACGATTGGAAGTTTGGGAGAACAAGAAATGTTGTGGAAACACGAGCTGACAGGCAGGTGATTCCAGAGCTTTTTCGAGTTCTCCCAAACTTCTATATGTGTTTGTGTTAAACAATTAGATTATGAGCTCAAGATTTCTATCACGCATAGAAATCGAGAGCGAATAGTGAGTAGCCCAGCAGCATGCGCTGGGGGCCACTTCTTTGTGCTTTCGAAGTGTCTTTGAAGAGGATTGAGATTAAAGTTTTGAACGACTACTGTTTTCGTAGGTCTTAGCAGAAACATTCAAAACACGGTATGCATTATCCATCCACCCTTATTTTTCCGTTATTTTTGCTTGCTTATTTTTATACTCACACTTGTTTGACTATTACTTGACTATAATCTTTTAATGTCACGCTTGTTTGATCAGCATGCAACCATGACATAAGATTAATAATACAAGTCTTTTATCAAGCCTACATTAAGTGAATTGTAATCTCCCGACATACACCCTTTATGCCCAGAAAGGGGGCCAGGAGGGTGGTATCAAAGTTTAGTCTCAACTTTTCAACTTTTGTTTAACCCTTTACTCCCTAAGAGTGTCATTTGGCAAACAACATCATACCTTTGTGAATATTTGAGAGATTTCTATGAATTTTTGTCACAAAAATTGCCTTGTAAAGATCTGCTCATTGAAGGCAGAAAATTGTGACCCCCTCCTACCTAGGGCATGGTTGACCACCCCCATTATTTTCCAATTTCTTTTTTGAGATGAAAATGGAATGGAAGACTGGTTTTACATCAAGCTATGTACTACGACCTGCTAAATAAGCTATGGTTCAGCAACATACTCATCATATTTGAGAATCGATACATGTTGGAAGCTTTTCATTTTCACATTTTAAAACACTTTATTTCAAAATGACTACCTCTTTCATAACTGCTGATGTCAGTTCTTAAATAACCTGATCAGTGGCTTTCAAATGGTATATGGTACAAAAGCAGAGAGTCTTAATTTGCTGATTTAGGAAAAACTGCCATTTGCCTTAGGGGGTAAAGGGTAAGAACATTTAGAACTTGGGGCAACAAAATTATTTTTAGTAAAATGCATTATCCAACTGTTTGCCCTTTTCCCAAACTTAAAATTAACTGCAAAGAAACTGTTTACTCTGGCCAGGGCTCATATGCTGACTCTTCAGTTAAGAATCCACCACACTAACCATCACTGCATGTTTCACAAATAAGGAACCTTAAATGAGAGAACAAGTGAAAAAAAGGACTTGGTATGTGCCTACCCATGGGCCCTTTCTGTGCAGCTTTTGCCTTGGCTTGTTCAAGTGCCTTTTTCTCGTCCTTTAATTTTTGCTTCTGTGCTAAGTCATCCTGGGAAAACCAAAGAGGAAATATTTATTAAGCCAGTGAGTGATTTCACTGGAAGCCAGCAGTGTACAGGACTACAGCTATATATACTTTGCATGCAATGTAATTTCTGTACACATTGCATGCCTATGTCACAGCCAGCTCCCAATTTGAGGTGATTTTAGCCTTTATCGACTGGTCATAAAACTAACCAAAATAGCATAATAACAGCTGTAAACTGTAAAAGAAATCATGTAACCCATCAGGCTGCTGCTTATCTCCAGTTTCAGTAGCATGAGGTGACCAGAAGTATTTCTACTCCGCCCTGGATGGGATGCTAGTCCATCACAGAGTTACCCCCAGCAGAGTAGAGTGTGTTACCCAAGAACACAACACAACATCCTCACACCAAGGCTAGAACTCGCATGATCCGGATGCGAGTGCACTGTCCATGAGGCCAACATGTCCCCATAGGGGGTGGTCCCTCATTATATCATTCAGTAATGTGGGTGTAACCAGGGAAATCATGACCCGACTACAAGTAAGCAGCATTCAAGAGGAAGGGTACATAAAAAAAGAGACCACATCCTCATCTGCTAGCAACACTTTCACTTACCCTTCACTCTTGATGCTTACTTGATCAGGTCATGCTTCTTCGACTTTGCATGATAATCTCTGTCATGCTTGTGGCCATGTTTCTGAAATTCTTCTAAATAGTCTCTGTATATTTTTTATGGTATTTGTTAAGAGATTTTGTTTCAAAATCAAAGTGATCTCTCTTAGGTAAGCTTAGAAATTTAAACAGTTTGATACTGCTGAGTTCCAAGTAACTTGTATGTTTACATGCGAAAAGACGTTAGATTCTGCTCACTCATTTAAAATGACCAGCATTACTTTAAGACACGTTAAACACAACAAAACTAGGGTGCTCAGAGATGAAATAAGTTTTAAACCTTGAAATAAGTTAAGTATAAGTATTTTGTTGTACCTCGTCGAGGTCCTTCTTATCTTTCTTGGGTTGTTTTAGCGGTTTCTTCTTGCCTCCTGTGAAAAACAAGAGATCAGATAAGCCTCGTAATAAAACAGACTGTTATGTTTGTAGACACGATTTCTATTACCTTCCCTTCCAGACATTTTAGATTAGAAGGTATATGTTCCTCTAGAACTCTTTCAACACGACTTCCAAAACACAAAACGTGTTTCGACTTTGAGCCTGCATTAAAAGAGTTCGTTTTCCTTACGTACTTTTTTATTGGTCAGATAGCTAATTTAAAAACTTACACCAATCACAACTCGTGTTGTAAAATCAAGAAGTGGGTCAGCGGACAAACCAACCCACGTGACCGAGCGATAAGCTACAGGCGTTCAAGATGGCGGCGAACGGGGTCTTCCTCCGTGGAGCTGTTTTTCGGCCGACATCATGGTAAGAAAGTGAATTGTTGTCTAATATAAATGTTTGAGTTGTCGTAAATGTTGTTTTTGATTTATTTTTTCTTTGTAGCCCGGCAGTGAGGAACATGGCAACGTTGAAAGACAGTGAGTAAATTCAAGAACTGTGCTCCTTCTTCGATATTTGATCATAATTTAGCTTGGTTCTATTTCTTTACTGTGCTGATGTATGTAGAACGTTTATTTTAGTAGCATTAAAGCTCGTATCGAAATTTCAGAATTCCTATAATTCACATTACTACTGTCTAGTATGCCCAAACTCGCATTCCACCGGTTCTGATTGGCTAACTTAATTAAACTACTAAACGAATTTCTGTTCAATTTGCAATCCCCTCCCTCTCTATCAAACAGCTTACAAGTTAGAATGCAGCTGAAATTTACCGAGCTTTATGCTTTTGCTGAATGCTTTCTGATTAGTGAGAAGCCACCTTACTAGATTTCATGGCAAGATTTCCATTTTAGCTGCATACTAAATCTTAATTGTTGATACAATTTTACTTGTCCTGGGTGATGAGTTATGTTTGTTAAAGTCAATTTATTTTTTTTGTGGGGGGGAGGGGGAATCCTCGTTGGAATTTTGTTGTTATTTGTGTATGATCAATCAATCAAACTTTATTTAGAGAGGGTTTACACTTGATAGTTAATACAACTAATAAACCTGTGGCCGGCGANATGCTTTTGCTGAATGCTTTCTGATTAGTGAGAAGCCACCTTACTAGATTTCATGGCAAGATTTCCATTTTAGCTGCATACTAAATCTTAATTGTTGATACAATTTTACTTGTCCTGGGTAATGAGTTATGTTTGTTAAAGTCAATTTATTTTTTTTGTGGGGGGGAGGGGGAATTCTTGGTAGAATTTTGTCATTATTTGTGTATGATCAATCAATGAAACTTTATTTAGAGAGGGTTTACACTTAATAGTTAATATAACTAATAAACCTGTGGCCCGTGATTAAGAATTACAAAAGACTTTTTGAAACCAATGTTGTTTACATGCTGAGAGAACTTTATTTTTGCTTAGTCTCCTTGCGACTACGAAGTGTCAAGAACATCCAGAAGATCACCAAATCCATGAAGATGGTTTCAGCTGCCAAGTTTGGCAGAGCAGAGAGGGAACTACGACCAGCAAGGGTTTATGGAGCAGGTGCTTCAGGTATATATGTGAGATATTCTGTTGAATTTAGCAATGTTATGTCCATCATTAGAAACCATGAAGGAGTGGATGAGTATAACTGTGAATACATTGTACTCTTTCTTGTGGGAATGCCTGTACTTATGGTAATTCATTCTTGTTCTCAGGTGTGAAGGTCTAATTTCCAATCTTTCACTGGGCCAGAACCTTGCTTAGACTTTTCAATCAAGAGTTAAAATAACTCTAAGCCCCTGTGCTTTCCATAATTTTTGCTCAACCTAACTCATGTATGTTTTTTATAGCTTTGTATGAGAAAGTAGAAATCAAACCGAGTGATGCAGAAAAAGCTAAACCTAACAACTTAGTGGTTGTGATGTCATCTGATCGTGGACTATGTGGTGGTATCCATTCCAACTTGGTCAAGGCTGTGAAGAGTGCTTTGACAGAAAGAGAAGGTGAAAACACAAAAATTGTAGCATGTGGGGAGAAATCCAGACAACTTTTCCTCAGGACACATGGTGAGCAGATCATATTTAAGTTATTTGCTAGATTAAGGTTTTTTTGTTTCAAAGGTAGGAAGCCAACCTGACTTGCACGTAACTCTAGTTTAGAATAACATGAAGCAACATAAATATCGCTATGAAGTCAACAAAGGATACTCATCCATTGAATTTTTGTTAGGTTGTTTTGTAACAACGAAGTTTAGTTTCCCCCAGTTATTCTCCAGTCATGTACTTTTTGTAACTTCTGTGATTTATTTGCTTGTACTTGCATGACAAAGTAAAATTTATTAAACTTAAACTTAAACTTAAACTTGAACATGCCAAAATTTATGACTTAAATTAGACCAAAAATGCTATATATCCTGTCAAACATTTTTAGCTTTGTTCTGAATTTTGTTGTTTTTAATCACACAGCTAATCACTTGCTGATGAGCTTTTCCGAGATTGGCAAGAGGCCTCCTCAGTTCTGTGAGGCAACATTCATAGCACAGGAAATCCTGGACAGTGGATTCCAGTTTGATATGGGAGAGATGTACTATAACTGGTTCAAGTAAGTAGTGTGGTGGCACCAATAAGAAATTAAATATCCTAATCGGTCAGTGTAAAATGCAGACTGTGGACTGCAGACTGCAGAATGGGAGAAAAATGCACACTGAGGGTAAAATGCAGACCAGTTGCTTTTTCAGTATATATTGTGTTATTCCCATTACCGAGTGCTAACTGTAAACAATGAAAGCCTGCACTCTGGTTAGACTGAATATCACTGCGGTTAGCATGAACATCACTCAGGTTAGCCTTAGAAATAAGGCACCGGTTAGCCTGTGTACGCTTAACTCTCAACGATGGAACTGGTAACACAATTCAATTAAAAAGTCTTAAGTCTGCAGTCTGCATTTTACCCTTGGTCTGCAGTCTGCATTTTTACCCTCAATCTGCATTCTATGCCCGGTCTGCAGTCTGCAGTCTGCGTTTTACACTGACAGGTATCATAATAAAATTGCAACACTAAATCAACCCCTTACTAATGGTACCCTGTTGGCATATCTCTTCCGTAAGCAGACACCTCTCAGCCACATACAAACGGCAGATTTAACCAGTAATCTTGGGATCTAGAACGTAAAGTTTTGGATAGGTATGGTTTTAATGTAGTATGAAACAGGGTCATACAGTGTTCCTAGCCCTTTAAGCTTGTGAAGCAGGGTAGCAAATATATCTATTAAATTCATGAAAGAACTTTTGTCTGGAATAGCCACAGCTTTTATCACACACGTGTAAAGGTCATCACAGGTTTTGCCAAGTTGTACTATTCAACGTTGTATCATGTTTTTGATATAGAGGAAAGACTAGAAACTTGTGGGAACTCACTTCAAAAGTTTTGTTTTTTTTTTTTTTTACTCAAAGCTTCCTTTTTTCTGTAGGTCAGTGGTGTCTTATAGGACTCTGACCAAACCTCTTCACTCATTTGAAACCTTGAATGCTGCCTCAGGAGGTGAGGTCTCATGACAAGGATAAATTTGTCATGCAAGTCTTGCATTGACTTGCACAGTATCCCATTTGCTTTATTGTAAGGGTGTCACTGTAAGTTGTAATGTTAAAGAGAGCAGATAGGCTTTCAAGGCAAGTTATTAACGTGGAATTCTAATGGGTCAATAGACTGTTACAAACCCCATAAAATCTTGGGAAATTTTTGTTAATTTTTTTGGACCAAATAATCAATATTTTAACCTGCAACCCCTGCAACACTGTGTTGCTTACATACATTTATCAAGTGGTTCTAGGAAATTTCCATACCTCCCCCTCCCTGAAGCTCATTGGAAATTACAAAAGGAAGAGCCATTTCTAAAGCAAATGTTTTAAAGAAAAGTATAAACCCAAACTAAAAATTTCCAGAAGGAGGGCGGAGGGTAGTTAAAGTCAATATTNTCGTTTTCCTTAAAATATTTACATGTCTGCTGCTATCTAGACCTTTTGGAAATATTTACTCTGCGATGGATATGAATAAAATTTTTAGAAAATGCAGCAATGTGTGTAGAAGCTAAAAGTAAAGATCATATTAATTTCAATCCAAGACAGTTTTTTCTAAGGAGGCTCTTTTTGACTTTGCAAACTGTTTTATTTATTTTTGAGTATTGATAATATGTTTTCAGAGATCCTAAGTTCCTATGATGACCTAGATTCTGATATTATAAAGAACTACTCTGAGTTCTCTCTTGCCAGTCTTCTGTTTTATGGCATGAAGGAAGGAGCTTGCAGTGAGCAGAGCTCTCGCATGACTGCGATGGACAGTGCAAGCAAAAATGCTGGTAAGTAATCTGAATTATGCTTGGTCAAATCTAGAGTAAGACTATCGTCTATGAAAAATTGCAATTACAAGGAGCCCGAAGGTTTGTAACCATGAAATCCTTGGTGCCCAGATTTTAAGCTTATATGAAAATGGTAAGTTTTTCCAGTCAACCAAAGGCAAAAGTTAGTCGCCTGTGGCACCCGGTCACTTCAAGAGCAGAGTCCTGTAGAGGTTTTCTCAGTTGAGACTCAGCCAGTTTTTAAGGTGTCTGAATGCTTCACTGAGACTGAAAACTGCTTAAGAAACACCCACGGCACCCAGGGTATTATGAGTACAACTTTCGTCAAACCAATTTCATACCCAGAGTTCACTCATCCCTTACCACTAAAAAAAAACGGAGCCTCTGGGAACCAGATTAGCATGACATGTGGCAATCTGCAATAGGTGTACTAGATTTCAAAAGTCAAATTCATTATACTTTTCTGTTTTCAAAATTGCATCCTGTGAAAGACATTAGAGCAAATCATATCCTGTGTACATCCTCCGCCTCCAAAAACTAAATGTAGCTGAGTTCCTTCTCCCTGATTTTTATTATTTGTTTATTTATTTATTTTTTTTTAGAGGGGAAGGGCAGATGTACACAGGCTAGCTCAGGCTATTAAGCAAATNTTCTCCCTGATTTTTATTATTTATTTATTTATTTATTTTTTTTTAGAGGGGAAGGGCAGATGTACACAGGCTAGCTCAGGCTATTAAGCAAATCATAGCATAAAATTATTACTTTTTATTTCATCAGTCTTACTTTAGTCAGGGAAACTTGTGTTATTGTGATATCATGACATTATGAGAAAGACCCCTTCCCCTGTCCTCCCCTTTCCCTCCCCTCTCCTCCTCTTCTCCTCCCCTCTCCTCCCCTCTCCTCCCCTCTGCTCCCCTCTCCTCCTCTTCTCTTCCTTCAGCTGGTCAACGTTTTCTCACTGAAAGTCAAAGGGCAAAGATTCCATTTTGTTAACTGTTCCCTTTTGTGTTTCCAGGTGAAATGATTGATAAGCTGACGCTCACATACAACCGCACCCGTCAAGCTGTCATTACCAAGGAGTTGATTGAGATTATTTCAGGGGCTGCCGCTCTCGATTAGTTTGTGGACTTTTTTATTGGAACAAAGTGTTAATTAATGTTTGTAACAGTTCAAATAAACATTCCTTTGAGGGAGAATTTCCATACCTCTCCAAACCTGTCTGTTATGTTGTTTTACCCTAAAATAATTGAAACCAATTCCATTAATTACCCTGCTTTATGTGTCGTTTGCGATTGGACTCCTAGAAAATGACGTGATCGTTTATAGACCTCGTGTTTAGGTAGCAATGAGCAAAAGCATTTAAGAACTTTGAAAAACTGTTTAATCAAGGCATTAAAACTAGCCCGAAGGCACAGTTTGATTGTGGTATCTAGAAAAATAATAGCCGAACATTGTTCTTGTGGAGTTCCTCGGGGCTTCGCCGCTCTTTTTCGCAGCTTCGCTGCTCGTTACGCCTCACAAAAACCCACTGAAACCGCCAGCTGAGCAGGCTACAAAATTACGGGCAACTGGAACTTAAGGTGGCTTACTACAGTTTTTCTGAGACAAAGTAGCGCGCGCTACTACCACGCGTCAGTATTAATCGCGCGAGCAAAAATGACGCAAGTAACCCTAAGAGGAAACAAAACTCACTTCAGCACTTGAATGGCGTTAAGTCACTTCGGTATAGGTAACGACAGTTTCAAACTCCATTCAAGCATGTGTTTAAGCCGAGGGCCAAACAAAAAAATGACAAAAAAAGGTCGATAAAAAACCGATAAAAGAGCTCTAATTTACCCTTGCTCAATTCCCGTCCAAGGTGGTAAAAGCCAGTCTTTGATCGAGGATTGCTCGAAAACCTACCACAAAACCCATGATGAAATTTTCACAGTTGATTGGTAGGGGTGAATCGCGTTTAGAGCCAAAATTTAAAAAAAACAAATCTGTAAGACGGATTTTGAGCTATTCTTGAGAGACGTCTGACAGGAACGGAAATATGTTCCGAAGATCTGATCTGTCTTCTTATGATCAAGAAGATCTTCACCTCTGTAATTGTAATGCAGGTTTTTTTTGTTTTTGTTTTTGTTTTTGTTTTGTTTGTTTGTTTGTTTTTGGCGTAGCTAAGGAACCTTTCCCACACTAGTACTGCACAACCCCACACCCTCCCCTTGAAACAGAAATTTTCACTGGCGAGTCACGCGATTGCTTATGGGTAATACATGCTTGCAAAATGGCGGCCACCTGAGCCGATTACCCTAGTTGTAATTTTTTCTTAGTTCTTTCCCAAATTATGACATGTACAGGTCTGTATACAATTACAAAGGGAAAGATAGAGGGGTTCTACCCGTTCGAGCAGGAGAACAGTTTACATTTATCGAGCAACATGACGCTAACTGGTGGAAAATGCGCTCTCAAACCGGCTCTGTTGGACTTGTTCCGACTTGTTATTTGGAGCCTGTCCACAACGACACGGTAAGGGAAAGTTTGCAGGGACGTTTTAAAGAAGCAGTTGTTTGCTCGCATGTTTTGTTGGAGTGCTGCTAAAAATGAATTTGGCAATATGATAGGCGAGTGTTCAAGCCGTTACCTCGTTATAAAAGCATATGGGAAATGAATGAAAATGAACCAATGAAAATTTAAGCTTCAGCTTACATTCGTCTCAGCAAGCGAAGTACATTTGTTGAAAAATTTGCGAAACAGTTCAACTTCGTAAGTACTAATTTGTTATTGAAATATGTTAAATATTTTACAAAAACAAACAGATGATGTGCAAACGTTGAGAATTTTCGATGTATGACATCTTGCAAACTTGCAAACTCCAGGGGAGGGAATATTATATTAAACACGCCTGCTCAAGATTTACAGTCTCTGTTCAGGTCCTTCTAAGGGCTCAATTTAGACAGTACAACTGTTTCACATGTGCAAGCCATGTCCAAGCTTACAACAAGCCTGTGGGGAGAGAGGGGGCCCTCATAAGAAAAGATCGGGGGTGCTAGTGGCGGAAATTTTGAAAAGAACCTCTAATAGGTACTAAGATCCTGCTTTGAGGGTGTAGCTTAATATTTCCCCTCCCCCCTACCCAAGAGGTACCAGTTCTAAAGCAACACATCTTCCGTCATATTTTTTCTGCTCAGTACCCTATAAGGTACCACAAAAGCTCCTGCCGCGACCCTTTTTAGGTTGAACAGCCTAAGAGGTATCAAAAACACTTTTTCGACCCCTAAAAGGTACGACAGGCACCCCGTCCTTTTTATATGGGAGTCCCCCCCTGAGAGAACAAGTCTACAGCACCAATAAAATGAAACTTACAACTTGCATTTGAATTTCTTGTACAGCACAAAAAATTATGTGCAGCTTCAGAAACTATGGATATCTATACCCACCCCTTGCAATGATATTGGTGCTATGAAAGAGGATGAGGGGGGAGGGGAGGTGTTGAAAGGCAAGTATAGAGCTAAAGTGAAATGTAGAGAATGAAGGGATAGGGGCTTTGCTCAAACAAAAAAGGTCTTCCATGGATATTTTCTGTTAAAATTGTCAGTTGTAATAGTAAAAAATAAAAGATTTCTAGTAAACCTAATAACCCTTTACTTCTTTCCTCACTCTTTCCCACTTTTTCTTTTTTTTATTTTATTCACTGTTTCCTGACTTTCTATTTTTCTATTTATTAATTAAAAAAAAAAAACATTTGTAACTATTGATAGACTGGCCAGCCTAGACTAGCACTAGCTATCCACGGGCCAGTCCAACTGTAAAGTGTAACTGATTAAGAAATAGAAATGATTGATTGATTGATTGATTGATTGATTGATTGATTGATTGGTTGATTGATTGATTGATTGATTGACAATGCAATCACAGAGTCAAACAATGTTTAATGGTGGGGGCTGGTAGCTATTTTTCCAGCACTTAGTTATAAAAGTTGTAAGCAACGAAGGTGCATGTCTAAATAAGGGGTTCCAGGGCCATGCTTCTCCAGGAAATGTTTTCGATTTCAATTCCCTGAAGTCCATTTTGTTATATAATGGATAAAAGGTGACCAATTTCCAAGACAGCAAGCGCAGAAGGTGCAAGAGGGGTCTGGGGCATGCTCCCCTAAGAAACCTTCTGGATTTTAACCCCCTAAAGTCCCCTTTCCTAGATTTGTGTGTCATTCTGAAAACTCTGACTGTATCCTGAAAAAAGGCAGAAACAGAGTAAAGATCTACACATTTTAAATATGGACAATATAACAGGACTTTAGTATGCTGTTCCTACATGTATTTATAGGTCAACCCAGGAGAGACACAAGCAGTACTAGAATCAGTAGACAGAGCTATTGAAGCCATCCATTCCCAAGCAGCTAAAACTGGAGAGATCTACACACATGAACAGAGAACAAATTTGAGGTTAGTTGAAACTTACACTGTGACAGTGAATGCCTCAGTCCCTACCCCAGAGGATACATATTAATGGTTACTCATGGGGTTTCATTAAGTGCCGGGCACTGGGCAAATTGATGGTCTGTAAGGACAATTTTACCTGCCTGGTTTGTCCATCTAGTGGAAAGTTTTTCTTATATATAAAGAATTTCGGTTCAAAAAGTTTTGCCTGCCCATGAAAACCAGCTACTCTCCTGCTGATGATGATAATGAAATGCTTGGGTTACTGGTGAATTGTTATGTTTAAGCTTACAAAATTCTGGTACAGAGAGGGAGTACGTAGAGTAATCAGTGACCCATGTAGACTTCCTGATTAATAAAATCAACTTTAAGAGGAAGGGAGCTAAGATATAGATTACAGAGCTAGCTACCAGATAACATCATCAGCTGGTAGAGAGCTTTTTGCCAGCCAAAATTTCATGAACCAGCACTTGGAGTTGGTGTGATTTTGAAGGTGCATAGGCCAGAAATGCCAACAGAGCTTTTAATGAGACTACTTAATATCATCCAGGGCTTCACTTGCAAACAGAAAAATTCACTGGCTGCAGGCCTATCAGACAGTATTTTCTTTGCTTTCTGTGCTATTTAGTTAAATGTTTAACAAGATATTAATGAGATTAATGTCTGCTGACTTCCTGCAGAAAATTGCTAGAACACAGGAAGCATCTTCAAGATCAATCTGGGAAGATTTCTCCTATCAAAGAGTCTCAGTCTTCACAGCTGCATCATGGTGGAGTGCAAAGCAAGGCATCAGTTCCTACGCAGGATCCACCAGCTCAACCTAGACGCCCTGCACCAACACTTCCACCTGAAAAGGATAAGAAAGAGAAAAAGAAGGAGTCAACAAAGAGAAGGCCAGCTCCAGCTGCACCTGCTGCAGCTTCACAACAAGCCAATAAAATGAAAGGTTTGTTTTGACCCTCGATTAAAATTTGTTGAAGCGCAGTGGCCTAATGATTAGCTCGCTGGACTCCAGATTGAATGGTCTGGTTTCGCTCCCTAGATGGGTCATTGTGTTGTGTTCTTGGGCAAGACTCTACATGTACATGTACTTTGTAGTCTGGAACAAAATCTCTTAGTTTTTCACCTGTTTAATTAGAGACATTATAGAATCTCGTGCAATGTAAGAGAGAGATTGTCCCATTATGGCATTATTTACGGTGAAGAAATCTCCTCTAGTTTGTGTTCAATTTAATGGAACTTTTTCTGAACTCCTTGTCCTATATCCACATGAGCCAACTAACTGAAGTAGCCTGAGTTAAACCTGGGACGAATACAGGGTTTCAAAGAAGGAGGTTTCATATACGGACAGCCACAGGTGGTCCCTCAGAAAATTTTTAAAATTGAGGTCCTTAGAAATGGGATTTCTGGCATTCTGAGGCCAAGTCAGTGTGTTATAATATCTCATTTTATTTTTATTTAGGGGATTCAATTGAATCCCCCAGTTCACCCCTAGATGCTGGCATACATTAGATTACTGGTAGGTCATACATCCTCTCTATAAATAAAGGAGAAAGAGGAACAATAATATTTTGTTATTGTATACTAGATTTTTAAGAAATAATTAAATCAAGATGTTATTTAATGACCCCACAGGTGAATCATCTTCAGAAATAAAAGAACCTTCTCCTCCTCTTCCTGCTGTGCCCCAGAGAACTGATCTTGAGCCTGTAAAGATACGAGCGGGGATAGCAGCAGAGTTGTTAGAGCTTTTACGCATAAAGTAAGAATGCTTTATAAATGGACCTTTTTACCAATGTCTCGCTTTTCCGATTTTTTCATTCAAAATAAATTTAGTAAATATGTGAAGTTCCATAAGACCTATTACAAATTCATTAAAATATGGGACCCCTAACTTTCCAAATGTTGCTTCCTGGCACACATTTCTTTGTAAGTTTGCCAGTCCAATATTTTCATGAGTTTGCAACTAATTCTTATGAAACTTAATAGATGTACTTAATTCATTGTCAGTGATAAATTGAACTATGGAGGTGATTTTTGTTTATTATAATTGAAAATTATGAAAAACTGTTCATTGATGTATCTGCATGACATCAGTAAAAAGGTCCATTTGTTGTAATTGATCCGGATTCATTGCTCGCCATTATTTATCGTTATAACTTTGTCCAGATCTCTGTCATAACTCAATATTAGAAGTTATGTTAATTTTCAATTTCAAAGGTTACTAACTATTCTTGAATATGTTTACAGCACAGGTTTGAGTTATGACAAGTCCTATGTTGCAGTCCATACAGTCGTATCACACTTACAACAGTGTGTGCCAGCGACATCAGAGGCCATGACACAGATAATACAAGATCTTGCCAATCAAAGGGTCAGTTATTGTGTAGTTCCAGAAAATATCCATAACCACCCCAAGGAAGGTTAACAGAAATTCCAAGGGGGAGGAGGGTTTCAAAAGCCCAACTTTTTAAAGGAAAGTATGGCACTACAAATAGAATTTCCAGGGGGGTGGGGAGGGGGTTTCAAGCTAAAAAAAACCTTCTGTGAGAGGGGTATGGATATTTTCTGGAATAACACATTACACTGTCAGTAGTGATAAGTGAAGAGGGCTGTCCATAAGGGTTATAACCCATAACATCTGCTACGGCTGAGTATGTCTGATGAGCCCTTGATGTTATGGGTGAACGTGCCTTTCGTATTAAAATACAATTCACCCAAAGAGAAATAAGTTTGCTACAGGTGTGAAGACAAGGTTACAGGTTGAGTTCAAATCAAATCATTTGAAATGACAGCCCTATGATTTCTGTTCTTTTTGTATGCCTCAGGAATCTCGCAGTGAAGATGAAGATGCTTTGCTTCAATCACATGATGGTCAGCAACTCATTAGGATTCTTGACGAATTGACGGAACACAAAGAAGACTCACAGCAAAGAACCTGGGCAGTTCATGAAGATGAAGGGATTATTTGCAAACTGCTGAAAGAACTGCTGAGTATTCTGGTCAGTCAGGATGTATGATGTTTCCAGTCAGTCACGACAGGTTTAATTATGTTTCTGGTCAGTCGGTTTTAATTGTGACTTCTGATCAGTCCTGAAGCTTTTTTGATAAATTTTACAATTTCTATATTATACAAATTTTTTACAAGTAAAAAATCATTTATTTTATCTTCTGTGATCTTAAGAATGAATTTATTTTTTGGAAACATTTTGACTGAGCTTTCTTTATTTCTACATGTAGCTGGATGCTGACCCTTCTGTTTGCCGAGCTGTGTTGAAACAAGATGATTATGAATATGTCAATATGCTTGTTGTCTACTTTCAAATGGTACGTTTGTGGAAACCTTAAAACACATCTTATTTATAGCTCAGTATTATAACTCTAGTGTGGAAAGAACCAATTAAGGAAAGAGGTGCTTATAAACCAAAAGGTAACCTGAAACCTAAGGTATAAGCATAGACAGATTTGAATGACAGTAACGTTTTCTTACTGTGGAAAGGTAGTGGCCTTGTGCATCCAACTCTGGATTGAGTAGTCAGGGTTTGACCCATGGTTGGCATTGTATTCTTGGGCAAATCACTTTTGTCTCACAGTGCTTCTCTCCACCCAAGTGTATAATCTGAAATGGGTACCGACAAACTTAATGCTGGGGGTAACCCTGCGATGGACCAGCATCCCATCCAGGGGGAGTAGAAATACTCGTAGTTGCTTCATGCTACAGAAACCAGGATAAACTCTGACCTGATGGGCCACTGGCTCATATGCAGACTTTACCTTTACTTTTACCTTATAGGTTATTAAAGGAGAAGGTCACTCCAAAAAGCTTAGTACTCTTTTTGTTTTCACCTATAGCAAGTGAACATTCAGCTTTTCCACTCACCAAAGTTTCACCCTCTAAAGTGCCTGCTATCCTGAAGAAATTCATCTCAAAAGAAGCCCAAAATTTGACTTTGAAGGCCACCATTTTGAAACTGTACATGGCAGCCAGGCCGTGTTTATGTGACATCATTCTGTCCGACTCGAAATCGGCAGAAAGGAGAAAAACCTGCAACTGACTTGGCCTCCTTCACAATGTCAGCAAAATGTATTTTTTCCAACCGATTATCCACTTCACGATCTTCTCTGCTATCATTTTTGGAGTTTGGATCATGTTTGGCTCAAAATAATACAGCTAAAGAGCAGCTGCCATAACCCAGAGTGGTAGTTAAGAGGCTCTGTTGGAAGCCATTTGGACAAAATCTCTTGGACGAAATGACGTCACGAAAATGTGACCTGGCTGCTGAATACTGTTCAAAATGGCAGCAACGGTGTTGAATTTTGGGCTTCTTTGGAGATGAATTTTATAAGGAAAGCCTGCACTTTAGAGGCTGAAACTTAAGAGAGTGACAAAACTTAGTCCAAGGTTTTATTAGCGTTGACCAAAAATATATGTTTTTTGGAGTGATGTTCTCCTTTAAGTAATACCCATTGCTTTGAATTCAGGAAGAAAGACGATCACTACGCCAACAATTAGTTGAAGTATTTGGCTGTATGTGTGGCTTGGAGAAGGAAATTCTGTCAGAGCTGCTGTGCTCTGTGTTACCTACAGAACTGGCTATAGAGATCATGAACAAGAAACATGGTAATTACAGTTACAAGTAGTTCATTTGCGGACTCAATATCAGCAGTTTGTAATTTATTATTTGCTAAAATCTCTTTGACTTGGGGGTGGGGTGGGGGTACTCAGGTATATTGCTGTTCCAATGAGGTCAAATTGTTTGACTTACAAAAAAGTCCTAGCAGGATAAAACCAAACCCAAAACAATTCCAACAGCCCGTAACATAACCCAGAAAAGTCCAGTTTTGTTTAACATAAAAAGGTGAACCATCCATTATACTTTTTGTCAAGACCAATAACAAGACCTTGCTAAAATATTTCATCTCTCAAAATGTCACATAAAATTTTGGAGCAACTACACAATACGGGGCCACTTTTGAAGGTGCATATATTTGGTGGCTCGTTTGGCTCATTTGGATCAGCAGTGGATAAATGAACAAGGAATAATCTATATATGCATTAAGTTCTAGGTCTATATATATTTAGTGGCTCATTTGGCGTGGCTTGTTTGTTTTAGCAGTGGATAAAAGAAGGAGGAATAATCTATAAATTATATGCGTTAATTCCTAGGTCTATATATTTTTAGTGACTCGTTCAGCTTGTTTGGCTCAGCACTTGATGAAAGAATGAGGAGTAATTTATTTATGTGTTAAGTCCTAGTTCTATATTATTTAGTGGCTTGTTTGGCTTGGCAGTGGATGACAAGGGAGTAAACGAGCCAAACTACCCAGCTTGTTTGGTGGATGATCAAAAGTGGCCCTGTATTCTGTAGTTTAGCCAAAATTTCTATCCCAAGAAATTTCTCAGATTATGAAATTTTAAACCCCCTATGAATGCTTCACATGCCCCTATCTCTGGTATCTCTAAGTACCCCTTTATCCGTTGGGCTGACTGCCCACCTTTTTGTCCTCCTGCTAGGCTGGACAACTGACTGACTGATAGCTGGTTTGGGAATGGGGTAAGGGGAAAGTTGACAACGGGGACCAGGGAATTGGAGACTGACTCAGAGTCCAAACAATTTGGAGAGATGATCCTGTCATGATCATTGTTCCTAGCGTAGTCACTGAAAAATTGTGCGATGTTTTCATTACAGATGTTCTAATGCAGTGTCATTGTGCTTTGTTACTGACAATGATCTTTTCAACTGGAGAATCGGTTCCATTTACTCTTTATGGTAAGAGTACAGTCTGTTGTCTGTATTATTCAGCGTCCATAATTATTAAGCGGGTTAATTTAAGAGAAAATGTGTATTGAAGCTTTTCGTCAGGACAAACAAAACTTTCCCTCGTAAATGCAGGTGTCCTTATTAAGTGGCTGTCCGTAGAGCACAGTTCCATTGTATTCCCTTTCCTTCCTTTGTCTTTTCTTACAAAACTCTTTTCAAAATAAATTTTGTCACTCAACCTGTAAATTCACAGATCAGGTGAATGATGGATTTGTGGATTTTATTATTGACGTCATTGAAAGTGCCGGAAGTGGTGAGCATGGTGAAGAGGTTGTGGATGCTCTTGTTCCTCTCATTCTTGCATTCAACCAACACTTTGTAGGTAAGGATACTGGAATTTTGTACCAGATGTCAAATATCATTGTATCTATGTAGGTTGAACGACTTTTGCTGAAAGTGTGTCAAGGTCCACCAAGCTGGGAAAAATAAAATCTGTGTTGCTCTTTCAATCAGGGCTTGAAAAAAGTGCTGACATGTCATCTGGGACAAGTAGATTTTTTGTTGGGCCAGCAACTCTTCATTTTATTTGCCCAATGGGTAAGGGCTTAGGCAAGTTTTCTACCAACGAAATTAAAACAAATCCAAACTAAGACGTGCCCAAGGCAAGCAAAATTTGAGAGATGCTTGTTCAATGCAAAAAAGAAATAGTGTTTGCTTGTGATCAGTCAACAAGTCATAAAATTTACAAGATTTATGATTATTAGAACTATAACTGATATACCCCAAGAATGTTTGCCTTCAGTTGGTTTCCAAGGATTATATAAACCAGAGCAGACTAGAGCATTGTCCTTTTCCAGGATGTAGTGTTCTGTATGTCTGTGGAATTGATCTACTGTTTTTGTAGTCTGATTTGCTGCACATGTGATCTTTGTTAACAGATTTCCAAAGTAATATTGTGATGAGGGTGCTGGCTTCCCGTGGAACAGCTAAAACACTGAGTGAGAAAATCATGTTACTTATCAACAGAGAAGGTTAGTACACAACTGCACCACAATGAAGTGGATGTAAACATTAGACGTCTGACCTGTTGCCAACACTCAGTTAAGCTCTAAACTCTGTTTTCTGTAATGTAAAACATGGAGTATTGTTTCTCCCCACTCCCTTACATAGGATGCAAGACCCTGGCCAGCACTTTTCTGGTGTTTCTCATGCCCATTTTTACTCCTGGTAGAAAGAGTCAACACAATGATTCACTACTGGTCAGTCCTTGAGCTTGGAACACTTGATTGATCTGTAATTCAGTATACCAACCAAGAGGAATATATATCTATCATTAGGATAAATCTACTAGTACACTAATGCTAAATAAATGCTGCAATCTGATTGGCTGAGTGACCGTACACTATCAGCCATTAGTGTGCAGAGGCTGGAGGTCATCCATGAAATGGCGACACTTTTTTCGTTTTTCCAAAGCTTTGAAGAACATTTTGGTGTAAATGGATAACTAAATTTCCAAGAAGACTAAAAGGACATTTACAGTTTCTTGACTTGAAAAACTTGAAATTATTGAAAAGAAATATGTGTTCTTGATTTCTATGAGGTAATTTTAGTTGATTCGGCCTTCAGCTTCATCAACTATCTCCTCATAGAAATCTTGAGTTCATAATCTAATTGTTAATTAGTATAAATCTACTAGTGGTCTATCGCGAATGGCGCTCTCTGACTAGTAGATTTATACTAAAACAGTTAGATTATTTGCTCTCAATTTCTGTATGTGATAGTTGACTCAGGCCAAAGAACTCTCATGCTTATAATCTAATTGTTAATTAGCATCATTCATCATCAGCATCATCATCATCATCATCGTCATTGTCATCCTCATCCGCATCTGAACATCCCTGTTCCTACCACTCTTACAGTACTTCAGTCACACCATCCTGCCTTTCTTGTCTCTGCTGCCAAACTTCTCCAGTTTTCTCTAGGTCTCTCACTGGTCATTATCCTAATGCCACCATGCATATCAATCTATACATGTGAATCTTGAGGTCAAAAGGGTGATTTTGATAATATGTTTAAGGACCGAATGGTTATTGTTCCTATTTGTTTCACAGAGGATCCCACAGCCATGTTTCAATATCCTCGAGCTTGTCCTGACTCGGTACTCAAGTTTCTTACAGACATCTTTTCATCGCAAGATACTTCTGAGTTTTTCTACACTTCAGACATGATGATTCTTATAGAGATTGTTTTGCGACAGTTGGTAGATCTTTCTCCTGGAGCTGGGGTTAGTTATCAGTATGATTGATTGACTGACTGGCTGACTGACTGACTGTCTAACTAATTTACTGACAGTCAGATAGTCAGACAGATGGACTGACTGACTGACTAATTTGTTGGTTGATTGATTGACTGACAGGCTGACTGATTGATTGATTGATTGCTTTAACTTTTCCACAGATGAGAACAGAATACATATCTTTACTACACCAAATCCTGATGAATTCTAACTACAGTGAACACAAACATCAAGCTGATGAACTGTTGTTTTGCCTCAAGAGAATTAGCAAGGAAGAAGACAAAGAAAGCGAACAAGATAGACTCATTGTACAAGAAATTCTAAAGCACTCTGCAAAATATTTCTGAACAGATTTGTGGTTTACAATGGTTGCTAACTCTTTCAGGCTCAGTTGTTTCAGTATACAAATTGAACACACTTAACAAAATTGACAGCCTCTGTACTTAATTTCCAGAAGTACACATCTAGTATATTTTCCTTACAATATTGTCAAGCTGTCAGTAAGAATAATCAGAAATTCCTGTATATTGACTCCTATCAACTAACTTTGAGCTCTGTTTTGTAAGCTACTGACTGAGTCTGCATGTGGCTAAAACTAGACTTGCCACAAGTCAACCTTGACTTACTTATCTCAAGCGACGAAGTCAAATCTTTGAGTGAGGAAGTCGCGAGGGCAAGCGTGAGCAACTTAAGTCCAACATATTTCCAGTGGCAAAACCAACAGGCCAGGGAAGAATTATTGGAAATGAATTTTAAGCTAAAATCTGAAACTACAATCTTTCCACCCCACAGCCACCTTCCCCCCCCNAAAAAAAAATTCTGCCAGAATATGCCTCAGTACCTGTACATTTGTACATTAAGTTTGGCAATACAAATTTATGTTGGCAAGATGCAGAATAAGGTATATATTTATAAGGAAGCAGATTTAACTTTGTACATTATATTATTTGTCAATTTTACTGATGTTACAAAATGGGCATAAGGTAAAATAAAGATTAGAAATGTAATATGATGTCATGAATTTTTTAAAGTCTCATCTTTAGACATTCCCTGATCTGTTGGATTATGATCTTCAAGTGAAAATCTAGCTGCTATGTTTTATGGAAATATGAAATTGTCCATTTTTACAAAATTCAGTTGTTCTTTTTGTATTATTAATGGCTCATTTCATTTTTACATGCATTTCAGCTGTTTGTGTTTTAAAACGTCTTGTTGATATTGTTCAACTTTCCCCCTGATTAGCCCAATATTTGTCCTGCTGGTCAACAAACGGAATTTTTTGTGTGGCATTCACTCAACATAAGGAAATAGGGGTTGTGAAAATATTGTTTTGTTTACAAAGCCTGATGCCAATGCAAGACCAGGTTTTTTTGTTTTGAACCCCAGCTGCAGACATCCCTTGCTAGCCCATGTAGTCTGCGTAGCAGGTGGTTTAGTTGGGGTAGAGTGTACAAACAAGGGACAAGAGCAGTGACGCCACGAGTGGCCTGGAGCACATCACCCTCTATATGGCCCTATACCCCAACCAATTAAACCGACAGCTATGCAGGCTAAAACCTATGCTTTATTATATACTTTCTACACTTGTTTAAACCAATCAGAATGCCTGTTACATGAACATATTTTTATAAAATATTTTATCACATTATTATTTCATCTTCACTAATATAATTAATGTACCACTGATGTTATACATGGTCTAAAGTGTTTTTGTGCTTCAATACATAGAGGAGTAGGCAACTGCTGTATCCTGTATTGTTTGTGTTGTTTTGTTCTGAGCTGAGTGATGCCATTGTGTCCATGTGGTAAAGTAATAATGTTATGATTCTTAAGTCATCTCTGACAACAATTTTAAAATTTCTATTAGGTTTGAGTTTCAGTCAAACTTGAATCCTTTTGTTGTTAAGTCTTCTCTTGCATCTTTTATTTCCTGCAAAAGACAACACCGAGTAACAATTACTGGGTGTTGAAATGATTTTAACCACACTGCTGGTCTCCTTGGTAACACAAGTGACCTTACAAAAATTCTACAAAAGGGAACTCTGCACTGAAAGTAGGTGAAATACCTGTTTTAACGATTCCGAAGCTTCCTCGCAGTCATTGAAAGTGGCTACACGATATCCTATTGTGGCTAAAGAATAACACTGAAAGGAAATCAGATTGAAATATTGTAAAATCCAGTAGGGAAGTAGAGTGAGACAAAGCTTTACAATAAGCGTTCAAAATAGGAAAATATAGAATCAATTTACTCACTCCAAATACAATCAGTGCATATACTGGCATCTGCAAAAGAGAAAGAAGTGGTCTGATTTAGAAGTTAAATAACTTTAAATAAGACTTAAATGAGCTTAATTTCTGACAGTGGCAAAATATTTTTTCCATGATGTACAGTTTTTTTCGGATCTTACCGGCCATATCACCTCCTTTGCCTTGTAAGATACTTTTAACGGTAAAATGTCCGTTAATAGTGTAATCCAAATCGAAAACGCTAGTCCAGCAAATACAATCCACTCTGTGAGTTTAGTCATGTTACGTTGTAGAAGACTGTGCGAGGAAAGCTTCGAAGAATCTGGTTTACGAATGAAGCAAAGAAATCTCTTGGTAGTCAGCGGCATATTCCATTAATAACACCACTGTGGTGTAACATAACAGTTTTGTCTTTCTCCTTCCCAGTGCAGCTCTTAGTATAAATATGCAGGTCTCCATACCCGCACTAAGGATGGTCATTGGAAATTCTGAGGGGGTGGGTATATCAAAAGCCAAATTTTTAAAGGGAAGATATGAAGCTTGACTGGAAATTCCAGGGAGGGAGGGGTGGGGGGTACAAACCAATCTGCCATTTGGATATTTTCTGGAACCATACAATGAAGATCACACCTTTGCCAGCCAGCCTTGCCCCAAATTATAAGTGGCCCTTCTACGTGATATAAAGCTTATAATTTATACATACAGTCATGTAGCTCACATTTCTCATTCATTCACAATTTTTTTGAAACAAGCTTAATGGTCAATTTAAATTTGGAGTAAGCAAGACTACTGTATACGTAAATGCACAGAAAGCCCTCCCTTTCATAGACTGTACATTCATTTGGATTCACAAGCTTTAAAACCTTTGAACAACAATTTCATCAACAAAACACTGAATAAAATCAAAATTAAGGAGGTTCTGTGGGAGTTATCACAGAGTGTTACAAGGGGGAGGGAATACCTGCCTTTAGTCACATACTGCAAAGGAGACTGACATTTGATGGATCCTGATCAGTCGCTAGCATTTTAGCAAAAAGAAAATGTTTTTTACTTGACCAAGAGTCACAAAAAATGTAAAACAAGCCCTTGGTCTGAACATTACTTTTAATCACATTTCACCACAAAACTTGCCTTTGTACATGCAAGCACAGCACATAAGAAAAAGCACATTGTCTGAACAGTGGCAACCATCACCAACTTTGAATTCATTGGGAATTAACACTTTTTTTTAATTGAATAAAGTAAAATATATTTTAATAACAATATTGACAGTGTGCTTGTTATTATTATATTCAAAACATTATCATTCATCCAACAAGAAATCTTTGATCTGTTCTTTCATCTGGGCCCTGTGATGAACTTTCGTTGCTGCTTCCTGCACAGAAGAGGGCAGATCACTCACAGTGAACTTTGAATCTTTAAACGTGAGCCGGCAACCGTAACAAAATGTATCAAGGATGTTTTCTTTGGTCAACACCTGCTCAGAAGATGAAGACAAACATCCACTGCCACAACCGCCACAACAATCACTAGCAGACTGGGGAGTGTTTTTATCATCAGTGTCAAGCTTGACAGAACTCACACTGTCTGTCAGAGCAGACAGGAGGGTTGGGTTCACATTCATTGGAACTCCACAAAGAGCACAAGCTGCTACATCTTCAGAAACTTCCTTAACAGACAACTTGTCGCCAGTCCTGAAGATTGTACTGACAGTGAACGGAAAATCAGCCTGGAGACCACTAACAAAATCTTCTGTTAAACGGTCAATACTGGCATGTGAATGAGTCATTGTTCCCAGTGTGGGTATCAACACAGTTTCGACATTGTTGAAGAAGTTGTAAAGTGCAATCTCCTTGGTCATAAACTCTCGCATGGGTCTTACGAAGAGAACATCACCATGGCGGTCATCACTGAAGCCAGTGTCGTATGGCAAATCACCACCCCTCCCTTGAGATATGTCTGATAACAAGCGAACTGAAATCCTTGAGGCACAGTCTGCAAACATTATCTTGGAATAACCTACATTTCTGGCAGTTGCAAGAAGAAGCTTGCAACGCAGAGTTCTTAGCAAGTCTTCCTTTGCTGTCATTGATGATGTTGCATCAAACAGATTTTTCAATTTTTCTGCTTGATGAGTTCTGGTCTGGTCTCCTTCAACCTTGTAGCAACACATTGCATCATCTTGCATGATTTGTCCTGGAGAAAAAATGTCTTCCAACTTTAACTGATGGAACGGAAATTTTGACCTTATGGCTACATCTCGAATGTGTTCGATGTAATTTACTCGCTCTTCTTTACTTTGTTTAAGAACTTCTCCTTCGTCTATAAACGCTATTCCGGGTTCAAATCGAAGCTTTTTGACCGCTGTGTTGCTTAAACCCTCACAAACTAAATGCAACATAGCACTAGAAGACGGACCTCCAGAAAATGCAAGTAAAACCTTTTCCCCGGCCTTAATCGCACGTGATTTTCCGATAGTTGCACGGAATTTGTGCGTGAAATACGCAAGAAAACACGACTTACAGAGCGGATCATTGAGTCGAACGACCACAGCCGCCGGGCTAGCCGAGCATTTCATACATGTTCTCCCATCGCGATTTTTTTCTTTACACGGCTTGTTTTGTAGCTCAGATGGGACGTTTTCTAAATCTTCCTCTTGCACACTGCACATGTTGAGGAGGAAGGGCTTCAGAAGAAAAACTATTTGAACTACCACCAACGTGACTCGGCGGCCATTTTGATTTATGCGTGAGTTGCGCATGGCTAACAGAACCCCGCTGACCAAGTTTAAACGAAAGCTGCAAAATTTCCATATTTTTCCGATTTCCCACGTTGATATTCTGAACTTAGGGGCGTCTTACATGAAAACCAAGTCTTATTCGCGGCGAGATTCAACCCGGACAAAAATGACTGACTCTGTTTTTAAGAAGTCTGTGAGGATAGCGTCTGTTGTTGCTTTGTATTGGTAAGCATATTGATGTAGTAGGTTAAGGCTCATGTCTGAATGATAAGACAGTCTATCGGCAAATGCAGTTTTGGAGTTGCCACGTTGTTGCGTTTGGTAATTCCCTGTTTCTTGCAGATAACTTACATCTTTCCTTCGTTTAACACTTGTCGTGAATTCTTAACTCACAGGATAATCTCAATATCTATGGTATTTTTGAACAAGTACCTTCTAAGCAGTCCAGATTTGAAGGTAGGTGTATCAAATAGGAAAGTAAGGTTTCAGTCAAGCATAATCTCATATGTAAGCTTGTTGATTGACTTAATAACATGCACAATTTCTGAAAATCCGGTCGTGCGTAATGAAAAATAATACATCATGTGTTTTGTTCCGTAGCAAGGAATGTTTTTCTTTGTACAAGAGAAAGTGGGCACAAGAATTGATATTATGTGATAAACAAGGGGTTTTGCAGATATTTTTCATGGAAGAGTTAACAGTCTATAGATCTAGTCGTTTAACTCGCTAATTACCCTCCCCGTAAGAGATTTTATCGTTATGGTATTTAAGAAATAGAAAACATAACTTTCTTTATTTTTAGTGAGGTATAGAAACATGAGTGGAAGCTGGAGAGAAAGAGAAATGCTGTTGGAACGTAACATGAGTCAAGGCTAATGTTTCCATGGTTTTTTAAAGCCCTCCCAAACTTCCACTCATTTCTATAGCTTATTAGTGTATTCCATCCATTACTCTTGCTCTTTACAAGAGCATCATATGTACTAGTTATGCATTGCTTTCAATTTGTGTACCATGGAATATCATACAAATCACTTGTATTTTCTAGGCAGGCAGTGAGCACTTTCAGACTTTCACACAGCCACAAAACAATATTATTGTGAATGTACCAAACAATACTGACAAAAGTTCAAATGAGGCCTAAAATTACTGTTAAAATTGATGTTTGAAATCTTTAAAAATCCAATCTTTCGCCAATCCACGTCATTATCAGAGATAAGAAAAATATTCCACATAAGGCTTATATACAATTGTATTTTGTAAAAATTTGTGATAATCGTAGGGAATTTGGGGAAAGTATATAAAGTGTATAAGAATAATAAGGTACAAATTTGGATCAGAAATGGATGGTTATTTTAAAAAAGGATCTAATGATCAAGTATCGTAGTACAAAGGGTCTCTCTGCATATGCAGAAATAGTCATTAGAACAAAAGGTCTGCTAATTTGCCACATTCCTCTCAGGGGACAGAGTTAGGGTAGGGTTGTATTTTCGTATATGAAGTGCTTGGAATAGGCACAGATTTGCGGGCTCCTTTTCAGGTACAGTGGTCTTGATTTCAATGCCTTTGGAGACTTCGTTTTAAATGCTGTGTTGTTTTTTTACTGTTCTGAGTAATACAAGTGTCTATTATGCCTGTATTATTTTTTCAGCTTGACGCACCCCTGTTTGTCACATGGTTTCAGTGTGTTGTGTGCCTGGTCTGTTTGTTTCNAAAAAAAAATTCTGCCAGAATATGCCTCAGTACCTGTACATTTGTACATTAAGTTTGGCAATACAAATTTATGTTGGCAAGATGCAGAATAAGGTATATATTTATAAGGAAGCAGATTTAACTTTGTACATTATATTATTTGTCAATTTTACTGATGTTACAAAATGGGCATAAGGTAAAATAAAGATTAGAAATGTAATATGATGTCATGAATTTTTTAAAGTCTCATCTTTAGACATTCCCTGATCTGTTGGATTATGATCTTCAAGTGAAAATCTAGCTGCTATGTTTTATGGAAATATGAAATTGTCCATTTTTACAAAATTCAGTTGTTCTTTTTGTATTATTAATGGCTCATTTCATTTTTACATGCATTTCAGCTGTTTGTGTTTTAAAACGTCTTGTTGATATTGTTCAACTTTCCCCCTGATTAGCCCAATATTTGTCCTGCTGGTCAACAAACGGAATTTTTTGTGTGGCATTCACTCAACATAAGGAAATAGGGGTTGTGAAAATATTGTTTTGTTTACAAAGCCTGATGCCAATGCAAGACCAGGTTTTTTTGTTTTGAACCCCAGCTGCAGACATCCCTTGCTAGCCCATGTAGTCTGCGTAGCAGGTGGTTTAGTTGGGGTAGAGTGTACAAACAAGGGACAAGAGCAGTGACGCCACGAGTGGCCTGGAGCACATCACCCTCTATATGGCCCTATACCCCAACCAATTAAACCGACAGCTATGCAGGCTAAAACCTATGCTTTATTATATACTTTCTACACTTGTTTAAACCAATCAGAATGCCTGTTACATGAACATATTTTTATAAAATATTTTATCACATTATTATTTCATCTTCACTAATATAATTAATGTACCACTGATGTTATACATGGTCTAAAGTGTTTTTGTGCTTCAATACATAGAGGAGTAGGCAACTGCTGTATCCTGTATTGTTTGTGTTGTTTTGTTCTGAGCTGAGTGATGCCATTGTGTCCATGTGGTAAAGTAATAATGTTATGATTCTTAAGTCATCTCTGACAACAATTTTAAAATTTCTATTAGGTTTGAGTTTCAGTCAAACTTGAATCCTTTTGTTGTTAAGTCTTCTCTTGCATCTTTTATTTCCTGCAAAAGACAACACCGAGTAACAATTACTGGGTGTTGAAATGATTTTAACCACACTGCTGGTCTCCTTGGTAACACAAGTGACCTTACAAAAATTCTACAAAAGGGAACTCTGCACTGAAAGTAGGTGAAATACCTGTTTTAACGATTCCGAAGCTTCCTCGCAGTCATTGAAAGTGGCTACACGATATCCTATTGTGGCTAAAGAATAACACTGAAAGGAAATCAGATTGAAATATTGTAAAATCCAGTAGGGAAGTAGAGTGAGACAAAGCTTTACAATAAGCGTTCAAAATAGGAAAATATAGAATCAATTTACTCACTCCAAATACAATCAGTGCATATACTGGCATCTGCAAAAGAGAAAGAAGTGGTCTGATTTAGAAGTTAAATAACTTTAAATAAGACTTAAATGAGCTTAATTTCTGACAGTGGCAAAATATTTTTTCCATGATGTACAGTTTTTTTCGGATCTTACCGGCCATATCACCTCCTTTGCCTTGTAAGATACTTTTAACGGTAAAATGTCCGTTAATAGTGTAATCCAAATCGAAAACGCTAGTCCAGCAAATACAATCCACTCTGTGAGTTTAGTCATGTTACGTTGTAGAAGACTGTGCGAGGAAAGCTTCGAAGAATCTGGTTTACGAATGAAGCAAAGAAATCTCTTGGTAGTCAGCGGCATATTCCATTAATAACACCACTGTGGTGTAACATAACAGTTTTGTCTTTCTCCTTCCCAGTGCAGCTCTTAGTATAAATATGCAGGTCTCCATACCCGCACTAAGGATGGTCATTGGAAATTCTGAGGGGGTGGGTATATCAAAAGCCAAATTTTTAAAGGGAAGATATGAAGCTTGACTGGAAATTCCAGGGAGGGAGGGGTGGGGGGTACAAACCAATCTGCCATTTGGATATTTTCTGGAACCATACAATGAAGATCACACCTTTGCCAGCCAGCCTTGCCCCAAATTATAAGTGGCCCTTCTACGTGATATAAAGCTTATAATTTATACATACAGTCATGTAGCTCACATTTCTCATTCATTCACAATTTTTTTGAAACAAGCTTAATGGTCAATTTAAATTTGGAGTAAGCAAGACTACTGTATACGTAAATGCACAGAAAGCCCTCCCTTTCATAGACTGTACATTCATTTGGATTCACAAGCTTTAAAACCTTTGAACAACAATTTCATCAACAAAACACTGAATAAAATCAAAATTAAGGAGGTTCTGTGGGAGTTATCACAGAGTGTTACAAGGGGGAGGGAATACCTGCCTTTAGTCACATACTGCAAAGGAGACTGACATTTGATGGATCCTGATCAGTCGCTAGCATTTTAGCAAAAAGAAAATGTTTTTTACTTGACCAAGAGTCACAAAAAATGTAAAACAAGCCCTTGGTCTGAACATTACTTTTAATCACATTTCACCACAAAACTTGCCTTTGTACATGCAAGCACAGCACATAAGAAAAAGCACATTGTCTGAACAGTGGCAACCATCACCAACTTTGAATTCATTGGGAATTAACACTTTTTTTTAATTGAATAAAGTAAAATATATTTTAATAACAATATTGACAGTGTGCTTGTTATTATTATATTCAAAACATTATCATTCATCCAACAAGAAATCTTTGATCTGTTCTTTCATCTGGGCCCTGTGATGAACTTTCGTTGCTGCTTCCTGCACAGAAGAGGGCAGATCACTCACAGTGAACTTTGAATCTTTAAACGTGAGCCGGCAACCGTAACAAAATGTATCAAGGATGTTTTCTTTGGTCAACACCTGCTCAGAAGATGAAGACAAACATCCACTGCCACAACCGCCACAACAATCACTAGCAGACTGGGGAGTGTTTTTATCATCAGTGTCAAGCTTGACAGAACTCACACTGTCTGTCAGAGCAGACAGGAGGGTTGGGTTCACATTCATTGGAACTCCACAAAGAGCACAAGCTGCTACATCTTCAGAAACTTCCTTAACAGACAACTTGTCGCCAGTCCTGAAGATTGTACTGACAGTGAACGGAAAATCAGCCTGGAGACCACTAACAAAATCTTCTGTTAAACGGTCAATACTGGCATGTGAATGAGTCATTGTTCCCAGTGTGGGTATCAACACAGTTTCGACATTGTTGAAGAAGTTGTAAAGTGCAATCTCCTTGGTCATAAACTCTCGCATGGGTCTTACGAAGAGAACATCACCATGGCGGTCATCACTGAAGCCAGTGTCGTATGGCAAATCACCACCCCTCCCTTGAGATATGTCTGATAACAAGCGAACTGAAATCCTTGAGGCACAGTCTGCAAACATTATCTTGGAATAACCTACATTTCTGGCAGTTGCAAGAAGAAGCTTGCAACGCAGAGTTCTTAGCAAGTCTTCCTTTGCTGTCATTGATGATGTTGCATCAAACAGATTTTTCAATTTTTCTGCTTGATGAGTTCTGGTCTGGTCTCCTTCAACCTTGTAGCAACACATTGCATCATCTTGCATGATTTGTCCTGGAGAAAAAATGTCTTCCAACTTTAACTGATGGAACGGAAATTTTGACCTTATGGCTACATCTCGAATGTGTTCGATGTAATTTACTCGCTCTTCTTTACTTTGTTTAAGAACTTCTCCTTCGTCTATAAACGCTATTCCGGGTTCAAATCGAAGCTTTTTGACCGCTGTGTTGCTTAAACCCTCACAAACTAAATGCAACATAGCACTAGAAGACGGACCTCCAGAAAATGCAAGTAAAACCTTTTCCCCGGCCTTAATCGCACGTGATTTTCCGATAGTTGCACGGAATTTGTGCGTGAAATACGCAAGAAAACACGACTTACAGAGCGGATCATTGAGTCGAACGACCACAGCCGCCGGGCTAGCCGAGCATTTCATACATGTTCTCCCATCGCGATTTTTTTCTTTACACGGCTTGTTTTGTAGCTCAGATGGGACGTTTTCTAAATCTTCCTCTTGCACACTGCACATGTTGAGGAGGAAGGGCTTCAGAAGAAAAACTATTTGAACTACCACCAACGTGACTCGGCGGCCATTTTGATTTATGCGTGAGTTGCGCATGGCTAACAGAACCCCGCTGACCAAGTTTAAACGAAAGCTGCAAAATTTCCATATTTTTCCGATTTCCCACGTTGATATTCTGAACTTAGGGGCGTCTTACATGAAAACCAAGTCTTATTCGCGGCGAGATTCAACCCGGACAAAAATGACTGACTCTGTTTTTAAGAAGTCTGTGAGGATAGCGTCTGTTGTTGCTTTGTATTGGTAAGCATATTGATGTAGTAGGTTAAGGCTCATGTCTGAATGATAAGACAGTCTATCGGCAAATGCAGTTTTGGAGTTGCCACGTTGTTGCGTTTGGTAATTCCCTGTTTCTTGCAGATAACTTACATCTTTCCTTCGTTTAACACTTGTCGTGAATTCTTAACTCACAGGATAATCTCAATATCTATGGTATTTTTGAACAAGTACCTTCTAAGCAGTCCAGATTTGAAGGTAGGTGTATCAAATAGGAAAGTAAGGTTTCAGTCAAGCATAATCTCATATGTAAGCTTGTTGATTGACTTAATAACATGCACAATTTCTGAAAATCCGGTCGTGCGTAATGAAAAATAATACATCATGTGTTTTGTTCCGTAGCAAGGAATGTTTTTCTTTGTACAAGAGAAAGTGGGCACAAGAATTGATATTATGTGATAAACAAGGGGTTTTGCAGATATTTTTCATGGAAGAGTTAACAGTCTATAGATCTAGTCGTTTAACTCGCTAATTACCCTCCCCGTAAGAGATTTTATCGTTATGGTATTTAAGAAATAGAAAACATAACTTTCTTTATTTTTAGTGAGGTATAGAAACATGAGTGGAAGCTGGAGAGAAAGAGAAATGCTGTTGGAACGTAACATGAGTCAAGGCTAATGTTTCCATGGTTTTTTAAAGCCCTCCCAAACTTCCACTCATTTCTATAGCTTATTAGTGTATTCCATCCATTACTCTTGCTCTTTACAAGAGCATCATATGTACTAGTTATGCATTGCTTTCAATTTGTGTACCATGGAATATCATACAAATCACTTGTATTTTCTAGGCAGGCAGTGAGCACTTTCAGACTTTCACACAGCCACAAAACAATATTATTGTGAATGTACCAAACAATACTGACAAAAGTTCAAATGAGGCCTAAAATTACTGTTAAAATTGATGTTTGAAATCTTTAAAAATCCAATCTTTCGCCAATCCACGTCATTATCAGAGATAAGAAAAATATTCCACATAAGGCTTATATACAATTGTATTTTGTAAAAATTTGTGATAATCGTAGGGAATTTGGGGAAAGTATATAAAGTGTATAAGAATAATAAGGTACAAATTTGGATCAGAAATGGATGGTTATTTTAAAAAAGGATCTAATGATCAAGTATCGTAGTACAAAGGGTCTCTCTGCATATGCAGAAATAGTCATTAGAACAAAAGGTCTGCTAATTTGCCACATTCCTCTCAGGGGACAGAGTTAGGGTAGGGTTGTATTTTCGTATATGAAGTGCTTGGAATAGGCACAGATTTGCGGGCTCCTTTTCAGGTACAGTGGTCTTGATTTCAATGCCTTTGGAGACTTCGTTTTAAATGCTGTGTTGTTTTTTTACTGTTCTGAGTAATACAAGTGTCTATTATGCCTGTATTATTTTTTCAGCTTGACGCACCCCTGTTTGTCACATGGTTTCAGTGTGTTGTGTGCCTGGTCTGTTTGTTTCTTTTGAGTTTCCTTGGAGACAAGTATCCGTGGATTGACAAGTTTCCTGCTTTCAATATTGATTTGAAGGTTGCAAGGGAGGTAAGTAATAGCTATATATTGTGTGACTCTATTTATAAAGACTTGGAAAGTGAAAGGTGAGAGGTGCAGTGACATGATAGATCAAATGGTTTTGGTTTGACACCTGCCAAAGTCAATGGGTAAGACATCTAACTCTCATAGTGCCTCTCTTCACCACAAAATATATTAATTTTGTAAATAAGTAACAGCAAATTGTTGCCAGGGAAACTTGAGAGCAAACAGCAGCAGACTAGCATCCCAAACAGGGGGGAGTAACCATACTTCTAGCTGCTACATGCTATTTGAATTTAAATAGTCAGTGCTGGTGTTACAAGTCACCAGACTTCAGAGGCTTCACCACACTTTTTCAAAAAAGATGGTGAATAATGAAGCACATAGTTGTTAAACCAGATAAGGAACAGAGGAATGGTTCTGTTTCATGATTCACTGATTTAGTGTAAGTCCATATGAGCTTGAGCTTTAACAGAAATATATTTATTAGATTTACGTAACTTTCAGGTATTCTTTCCAATACATTTGTCAGGCATAAAACCCCAGTACATTCAATCAGTGTTAAATGTAAAGTCTCCATACAAGCCATGCAGCCATCAGGCCGGAGCTTAATTATCCCAGTTTCTGTAGCAAAAAACAACTAGGTATCTTTCTACTCCCCCCTGGATGGGATGCTAGTCCATTGCAGGGTTACCCCCAGCATTAATTTGCCGGTAGCCATTTGTACACCTGGGTGGAGAGAGGCACCGTGAGAGTAAAGTTTTTGCCCAAGAACACAACACAATTACCTGGCCAAGGCTCGAACCCAGACCGCTTGATCCAGGGTCAAGCACACTGATCATGGGGCCACTGCACCTCCACAACATTTCAATCAATTACATTCGATTAAATCATCTACTTCAATTACCAGTGGACATGTTAGGTTTTTTTTTTTAAATAAATATTTTCAAAGTTCTGCTTATAGACTGTACTCTTTCCTTGTCTACACAGGTTCTTCCTCTCTCAGGTGTGTTTGTTGGAATGATTACATTCAACAACTTGTGCCTTAAACACCTTGGTGTGTCATTTTACAATGTTGGAAGGTCACTAACAACAGTTTTCAATGTGGTAAGTTACTGTTGTGTTATGTACACAATAATAAAAATGGCTATGAAGGGTGGGAGTCACAATCAGTGGCTGTAAAGAGATGCGACCCAACAATTAAGGCTGGTTGTCACTAAGGACGGAGCTGAGGTCATAGTCAAAGTCTGAGCGCTTATGACCTAATTGAAATCGAAGTCTGAAGTGGAGTCACAAGCTTGATGGAATTAGAGTTGGAAGAATCAGACCGTTTCTGTTTACTTCAAATTCCATTTATGACTCCGTCGCTTATGATCCAGTGAAAACTAGATTGTCAGAGTTGGAAGCAGAAGCAGAAGAATCAACCAATAACAAGGTTCAGAATCGAGCACTGTGATTGGTTTATTCCTCTGCTTCTGCTTCTGAGTCTGACAATGAAGTTTTCACTGGATCGTAAGCGACGGGGTCATAAGCGGAATCAGTATTCTGCTTCCTACTCCATTGGTTTGAATTTTGACCATATCACTCTGCGCCTCAGACTACATGTATGACTCTGTCGCCAGTGAAAAGCGGCCTCTAGTGATTCATTAGCTGAAATAAGTAAGCAAACCTCTAGGACAGGGTTACCTTCACAGCTACTTTTGTTTTGGGTTGTTGTCTTCTGCAACATTGCAGGACCATGATACTGGGCGAAATAAAAACCTGTCATTATAAAACTGCTTTATTCATTCATTTATTTATTTATTTATTTATTTGTTTGTTTGTTTGTTTGTTTGTTTGGTTTAGATCTGTACCTTCCTAATTCTTGGCCAAAAAACGTCTTTCAAAGCAATGTTCTGTTGCGCCATCATCATCGCAGGTTTCCTCATGGGTGTTGATCAGGAGGGAAGTGCAGGAGAACTGTCCTATATCGGTGTCGTGTTTGGTGTCTTGGCAAGCCTGTGTGTCTCACTCAATGCTATCTACACCAAGAAAGTCCTTCCTGTTGTCGACAGCAACATCTGGCGGCTCCAACTCTACAACAATTTCAACGCAGTTTTTCTATTTCTACCTCTGATGGTTATCTGTGGTGAAGTACAGGCCATCTATGGTTTCCACATGCTCACTTCAGCTTATTTTTGGGGAATGATGTGCTTAGGTGGGCTCTTTGGAATTGCTATTGGATATGTAACTGGTCTGCAAATCAAAGTGACAAGTCCATTGACGCACAATGTTAGTGGAACTGCCAAAGCTTGCGCGCAGACCATCCTCTCTGTGACTGTCAATCAAGAGATAAAAACAGCGCTGTGGTGGATTAGCAATGTACTGGTGCTGGGTGGTTCAACTGCGTATACTTTTGTTAAACATCAGGAGATGAAAACTGTGCAAAGCAAAGGTGAACAGACAACTAAGGGTGATGGAAATAGTAATGGTAGTAGTAAAAATGGAGGGAATCCAGTATAACTTTTTTTTGATTAAAGTCACACGAACGACATAATAGGAAGTTTTTCCTTTCGTTAACATAAAGAAATTAGCTGGGTGGGTTAAAACAAGGCTTTATCGAGGCCTCATTGAGACCTTATGTAACATCTAGTCATGAAAGAGGGTGAGGCGAAGGTGAAGGTGAGAGTTAGAACATCAGTCTAGTCACATGCAAAAGAAAATAAATAACCCGTCTTCACACCTTGAAAATGTTAAAAGAAAAAACAACAATACAATATTATGTCTGCCAGAAGTATAGGATTTTGTCTAAGCTGTTTTCGTTGTAGTTTCATCGAGTATATGGAATGTGCAGGTACAAAAGACTGGTTTTGGGAACAAATGTTGAAAAAGTTTCAGTCGATTTTTGTTTTGGGTAATTTTAAGGAACAAATAACTATAGTAAGTTGTAAGTTAAAGTTGTATCATCCACATATGGATAGCTTGTTGACAATTAAATTCAACTGAGTGATGTAAATTCTGTGTGAATAAAATAGAAACCTCTCAGTGGTTGTTTGAGTCGTGGTGGTGAAGGGGAGGGCCTGTATCACGTTTCACGGAAAAAGGCCCTATCACAATCCACGGAAAATATAAAAGACATTGCTCGTAACACGAAAAAAAGGAACTTTTACAGAATAACCCCTAAGAACTCTTAATTAGATCGTGTTATACGTTAATATATTCTTACACCTTTCACACCATAAATTAACATCTCGCCCATTGTTTCTGTACCTGATAATGGAACCAGGATGACTTCCAACCTCGTTCCCAGGGTCTTTTCCTTGGCTTGGCGGTGGGGTGGGAAAAGGGCTCTTCCCGCCCCACCCCCAAGGGAAAAGACCCTGGGAACTGCGATGATCATTCTTCACTTTCTTTACTTTCGCTTCTTAGGCCCGGTTCATACGTCGCATTTCTGCCGTGTCGAATTCAATTCAACGAATTAGATTCGACAGAAATTCGACGTCTGAATCGGCTGCCGCATT